CCCTCCCTCTTTCTTTCTCTGGTCAAACTAAAATAAATAACTAAATTTAAATAAAATAATTCTTTTAAAAAAAAAAAAAAGCCCCACAAATACCGCAAATAACCACAATCCACATTCTAAGAGCTTTGTTTACCTTTTATCCCCACGACCCACCTGTGAGGTTGGGACTGTTGTTACACCTACATAACCCATGGGGAAACTAGGCCCAGGAGGTCAGGTACTTGCCCAGAGTCCCATAGTGGGAAAGTTGCAGAGGTGAGGGTTGAACTCAGGTAGCCGGGCCCTAAAAGGCTGGATAAGGAAGCAGTGAGGCCTAGAGGTTGAGGGGGGCAGAGCTCACTGGGATGACCATGGCATGTTTTTCTTTTTAAAGAATTATTTTACTTGGGACCAGCAGGTGGCGTGGTGGTTAAAGGTGCTGGACTCCCACATGGCCGACCGTGGTTCAAGTCCTGGATCTGGTGGCTTGCTTTCTCACTTTCCCTCTCTCTCTCACTCTGTCCCCCTCTGATCAAATTTAAAAATATATGAATAAATAAAACTAAATAAAATAATTTTTAAAAAGAATTATTTTACTTATTTATTTACATTTGACCAGAGAGGGAGAGGGAGAGGAAAAGCGAGAAAGCCAGCTGCCAGGTCCGGGACTCGAACTGTGGTCAGCCACGTGGGAGTCCTGTGCCCTTAACCTCCACGCCACCTGCCGGCGCCCCACGGCATGTTTTTCAAACCACCCGGTCTGAGACTGGCAGTGCCGTGGGAAGGCAGGAGGGAGGCCATGACACCCTGTCCTGTGGGACTGTGAGCGTCCAGGGTGGGAGGCTGGGCACTCCCCGAGAATCGTGGTCAAGCTGGGGCCGCCCCCTGCCACCAGGTCCTCTGCCCATGGAGGCTATTGAGAAGATGGCCAGCCTATGCATGAGGGACCCGGATGAGGACGAGGAGGAGGGGACGGACGATGAGGACGTGGAGGAGGATGACGACCTGCTGGTGAGCTCTCAGGGCAGGGCAGGGTTGCAGGGGACTCTCCTCCCATTGTCACTGGCCACCGTCCAGCTGGCCCTCATGTCCCGCCCCGGCCCCGTGTCCCCTACAGGCAGAACTAAACGAGGTCCTTGGAGAGGAGCAGAAGGCCGTGGAGCCCCCGGCCCCCATGGCACAGGTAGGACACTGACCGCCCTGCTCCCTCGAGCCGTCACCCCACAGACTGCCTGTGGTTCAAGGCCCACCTGTATCCCTCTCACCTGTGTGACCTCAGACAGGGGACACGATACTTCTGAGCTCCGGGTCCCACCCCTGGGAAATGGGGGGGAGAGGTTTCCTCTGCATTGAGGTCAGGGACACCAGCCCTGGGGCGACGTGTGTTCAGTCTACTTATTTTTTTTGGAGAGGTTTTTGCTATAGGGCGCCTGTGCTCTCCAGAAAGACAGAGATAGAGAGACAGAAAGCGAGAAATCACCTCCCAGGGGGATGGCTATGCCCCAGTCCCTTCTCCTCCATTCTTTTGTCGGGATCTTGGGCACGCACACACACATGCCTGGCATGAGTTTTAAGCCAGGGTCCAGGATGTGAACCGCAGTCAAGTACATGGGAGTCCAGCGACATAGCCATTACGCCAACTGCTGGTCCTGAGAGAGATTTTTGTCATAGGGCTTGCCAGAGAGACAGAGAGAAAGCGAGAAATCACCCCCTTAGGGGAGACGGCCACGCTGCAATCCCCTTCTTTCTCCTCTTGGGATTTTGGACACGCGTGCACACGTGCCCGGTGTGAGATTCAAGACGCGGGGTCTGGGACTCGAACCGTGGTCAACCATGTGGGAGTCCAGAGCCTTAATCTCCATGCTGCCTGCTGGCCCCTGGGTTGACCGTCAGTACCAGGAAGGGCCAGCAGGGGCCGCCTGAGCGGGGTCTCTACCCAAACCGTACTCCTGGCCCCTCTGCAGCCGAAGCCCACCGCCGCCAACCCAGGAGTGGAGGCCGTCCTGCAGGAGAGGCTCCCTCTCTCTCAGGCAGCCGTGGAGACCGCCAGGCAGGCTGGAGACGGCGCCAAGCTGCGGCGCTACGACCGGGGTCTCAAGGTGAATGGGCAGGGACCGGGTGCTGGGGCCCCACCACCAACCCCGCACCTAGCCCGGGCTTCTCCGCAACCCGCACTCGCTCCTTGTCACAGACGCTGGAAACCCTGCTGGCCTCTGTCCGGAAGGGCAACGCCATCGATGAAGAGGACATCCCACCTCCCGTGGCCATAGGGAGGGGCCCCGCAGCTACACCCAGCCACACCCCTGTACCGCCCCAGCCTTCCCCTACAGTCCCGCCAGCCCCAGAACCCAGGGTCATCATGGAGGCGCCTTCTCCCAACGCCCCTGCCTCCTCCCCCGGCTCAGCTAAGCCGCAGCTGCCCCCAGGTAGGTAGCAGCCTGGGCTGGGCTGGTGGGACCTGGGTGGGCTGCTGGTTCCTTACTTTCATATCATCTTTTTTCTTTCTTAGAATTTTTAATTTATTTTTTAGAGGATTTTACTATAGGGCATGTGGGTTTGCTGGAAAGACAGTGAGAGGCAGAAAGTAAGAAATCACCTCCAGGGGGGATGGCCACATCACAGTCCCTTCTCCATTCTCCTCTCGGGATCTTGGGCACGCACACACACCTGGCGTGAGTTTAAGCCACTGGGTCCGGGACTCAAACCACGGTCAATTACATGGGAGTCCAGCGACATAGCCATTATGCCATCTGCTGGTCCCTAGAATGTTCTTCTTTGAGAGACAGATTTTTGCTATGGGTTGTGTGTATTCACCAGGGAGACAGAGACAGAGACAGAAAGCAGGAAATCACCCCCCAGGGGGGATGGTCACGCCACAATCCCTTCTCCTCCATTCTCCTCTCGGGATTTTGGGCACGCACGCACACGCGCCCAACGTGAGTTTAAGCCGCTGAGTCCAGGACTCAAACTGTGGTTGACTTCGTGGGAGTCCAGCAATGTAACCATTATGTCCTCAGCTGGTCTCCTTTTTTAGAATTTTTAATTTAATTTTATTTATTATTATTATTATTATTGTAATTTGACCTGGGGTGGCGTATGAGAAACCAAGCCGACAGGTCCAGGACTCAAACCGCAGTCAGCCATGTGGGAGTCCAGCACCATCACCACCACGCCACCTGCCGGCCCCCCTGATTTTTTCTCTATTCTTGATAGCATGTGTGCATACATGTGAGAGAGAGAGGACCCCCTCCACAGTGTCTGGTCATGCCTCGATCCCGTTCCTCCAGTCCTCCAGCCTGTCAGAGCTTTGGCACTCACACACGCTACTGGCATGTTCCAGGCTGACCGGGCCAGAGATTCGAACTGCAGTCACCACGTGGGATTCAGCAGCTTTTTACTGCACAGACCTGGCCTGATTGTTGATTTTTTGTTTGTTTCCCCAGAGTTTGTGTTCTTTAGCCAGAGATGGAGAAAAGTGGGAGAAAGGGAAAACGCCCCTCAGTGAGACGTGATCACGCTGCAATCCCTTCTCTTCTCCCCATCCTGTCGGGATTTGGGGCACGCATACCCGTGCACCTGGTGTGTCTCTCAAGCCGCCAGGTCCGGGACTTGAACCATGGAAAACCATGTGTAGGATCCAGCTTCCTTCACCACCGGGCCATGGAGCCAGCTTGACATGCCTGAGTTTAACGCAAAGGGCCGGTTGTCTGTCTGGAAAAGCACAGTGTATGGGTCCAGCAGGTGGCGTAGTGGTCAAGGCACTGGACGCCCACGTGGCTGACTGCGGTTCAAGTTCTAGACCCAGCAGCTTGAAACTCGTGCCAGGCGCATGTGTGTATGTGTCCAAAATCCTGAGAGGAGAATGGAGGAGAAAGGATTGCAGCGTGGCCACTCCCCCGGGGGGTGATTTCTCACTTTCTGTCTCTCTGTCTCTCTCTGTCTGTCTGGCGAGCGCACTCACCCTATAGCAAAAACCTCTCCAAAAAAAAAGAAGAGAAAATATGAGTAAATAAGTAAAATGTTAAAAAAAGAAAATTACGCCAGGCACTTTTGTGTGTGTATCCAAAATCCCGAGAGGAGAAGGGATTGGGGTGTGGCCATTCCCCCTGGGAGCCCCCCCCATGCTATCTTCAGGCTCTGTGATCTTGGGGAGGCCTCACTCCTTCTCTTGAGCGTCAGTTCTTACATCTGTACAATGGGCCCCAGTAGAAATGCTTCGTGCAGCTTCCCTGGTCCAGTCTCGGGCTTCCCCACGTCTTTCTCCCCTCTAGGCCCCTGCAGCCCTGGCCCCCTGGCCCAGCTGCAGACCCGCCAGCGCGAGTACAAGCTGGAGGCGCTCCAAGCCAAGCAGCAGGGAGACACGGCCGCCGCTGCCAGATACTTCCGCGTGGCCAAGGTTCGCCCGAGGGAGAGGGCAGGACGCTCGGGACGTTGGGTGCGGTGGCCAGGAACACAGGCCCAGGTCGGGCGGATCCGATCTTAAATCCCGGTTCGGGGCCCTCGCTGTCGTTGCTGGACGGTTGGGGGCCTCGACCTACCCGAGCTATGCAATGGGCTTGGAGAACGGAGTAAGATGGTCCCCAGGACGGGACAGTAGGAGTGATCCCGGCCCCCAAATGCGGTCTCCTCTCTTAATCTCCTTCTTCCCTCCAGAGTTTTGATGCTGTCTTGGAGGCTCTGAGCCGGGGGGAGCCCGTGGACCTGTCCCGCCTGCCCCCGCCACCTGGTGAGACCCCCTAAGTCGGCCCATGCTCTGGGAATGCTGGAGCCTGCGCCGCCCCTCAGTTCTTCCCGAAGCGCAGCCCCCATTGGTCAGCTCGAGGGGCGGGGCTGGGCAGGCCAGCTCCTCATTGGACCGGACCTCTCTGTCCCCAGACCAGCTGCCCCCAGACCCGCCGTCACCACCCCCGCAGCCTCCAGCTCCCGCCACGACGCCCTCTGCACCAGGTAGGCTCCGGGGACCCTCCAACATGGGCAGGCTGGGATCTCCCCTGACCTACACTCGTAACCCTGCCTGTCGGTCTCTGCTCCCACTTATGGCCCAGAGGTCCCCCCACCCCCGAGGACCCTCCTGGAGGCGCTGGAGCAGCGGATGGAGCGGTACCAGGTGGCCGCAGCCCAGGCCAAGGCCAAAGGGGACCAGAGGAAGGCCCGGATGCATGAGCGCATCGTCAAGGTGTGTGTGGGGAGGCCAGGCGGGCAGGCGGGCAGCCCCCGGAGACCCCTCACAGGCAGCGCTGAGACTTGTGTCCCTCGCAGCAATACCAAGATGCCATCCGTGCCCACAAGGCGGGCCGGAACGTGGACGTGGCTGAGCTGCCTGTGCCCCCAGGTAGGCCCTGCTCCGGCCCTGACACCCACCCTCCCCCAAGCCTCAGCCATTGCAGGTGCTCCTCCAGGTGGCCCAGGCTCAGGGAGCACCTGCTTAACATCCGGGAGTTTTTGTTTGTTTTTAGAGTTTTTTGCTATAGGGCACATGTGCTCACCCAAAAGACAGAAAGAGACAGAGACAGAAAGCGAGAAATCACCCCCCAGGGGGGATGACCATGCCGCAATCCCTTCTCCTCCATTCTCCTCCCGGGATCTTGGGCACGCACGCACACGCGCCCAGCGTGAGTTTTAAGCCATCGGGTCCGGGACGCGAACCACGGTCGATTATGTGGGAGTCCAGCAACATAGCCATTACGCTAACTGCTGGTTCCCGTATCTCGCTTTCTCATTTTCTCTCTGTTCCTCTCTGGTCAAATTAAAATAAATAAATAAAGTTAAAATAATTTTTAAAAACAATAACAATAATAATAAAATTAAGGACATAATTCTTTATTAAAAAAAGAGGGAACCAGCAAGTGGCATGGTGATTAAGGCACTAGACACTCCCACATGGGTGATCATGGTTCAAGTCCCAGACCTGGCGACTTGCTTTCTCACTTTCTGTCTCTCTCTTTTTTCTTTTTTTTCTCTCTCTCTCTGGTCCAATTAAAAAAAAAAAAAAAAGAATGAATAAATAAAATAATTCTTGAAAAAAAAAGATTTTTGTTATAGGGTTCATGTGCTCACCGGAGAAACAGAAAGTGAGAAATCACCCCCTGAGAGGATGGCTATGCCATCTCTTCTCTGCTCTCCTCTCAGGATTCTGGGCATGTGCGCACAGACATCTGGAGTGAATTTCAAACTGCCAGGTCCAGGATTTGAACTGTGGTCAGCCATGTGTGAGTCCAGCAATGTAACCATCCCGCCATCTGCTGGCTCATTTGGTTTTTATTTTAATCCTTTCCTTGTCATAGGTTTCAACTTTGCAGACACTTGCTCAGGGTTCCATCTACCCCAAGTGGGTCTGAGTCCTCTGAATTTTCTTTATTTATTTTACTGTATGTGTTGTTGTTATTTTTTAATTTGACCAGAGAGAGCGAAAGGGAAAGTGAGAAAGCAAGCCGCCAGGTCCAGGATTCGAACCATGGCTGACCGTGTGGGAATCCAGCGCCCTTAACCACCACACCACCTGCTAGCTCGACCTCTGAGTTCTTAAAGCTATTTGTGTGCCCCTCCCCACTAGAGCAATGACCTCTCTGCATCTCAAACCCCCACTGTTCTTCCTGGCATGATGTCCCCATTGGTCAGCCTGAGAAGTGGAAGCTCCTTGTTGGCCCCTTAGCCTCACCTGTCCATCTCTGCTACCACTGACAGCCCAGGGCAGTGCCCAGCACACCAGCTCACACACAGGACACCCAGTACTTGTCTCTCGGGGTCCCATGAAGGCACGGGGTCAGGCGAGAGAGCCAGGAGGTGGGGGAGACGTTGGGAGGGGTCTGGTACCCACATGGGCCCAGCAGTAGCTCCTTCCTTGGACTCAGAGTCGATGCAAAGGCCCCAGGCTCCTTAGGTGGGGAGGTCCCCACAGCTCCACTGTGCTGGAGTGGGTTCCTTCCTGACCTGGCCCCCACCGGCCGCCCAGGCTTTCCCCCTATCCAGGGCCTGGAGGCCACCGAGCCCGCCCAGCAGAGCCTAGTGGGCGTCCTGGAGACCGCCATGAAGCTAGCCAATCAGGATGAGGGTCCAGAGGACGAAGAGGACGAGACACCTAAGAAGGTATGTGGGAAGGGGCCCTTGGGTGAGGCAGGGGAGTGACACCAAAGACCTGGCCTGGAGCTGGAAGAAACCAGCATCGCATCCCGGCCTTGCCCCTTCCCACTGGGGTAGCCGCAGGCAAGCTCCCTGAGCCTCGGTCTCCTCATCTGTGAAGTGGGAAGAATCAGTCCTTCCCTCCCGGGGTTGTCCCAAAAACTGAACGAGAAAAGGACTGTAGATCGAGGAAATAAAACTGAGATGGTTGGTGTCGGGGCTTGGCCTTTCCCCACCGGGAGATCTGACTTCTTTTCTGACTCTCAGCAGCTAAACAGCCCTGCAGCACCCACGGCCCAGCCCAGGGCTCCCGCCTCCAAGGCTTCCCAGTCGGGATCAGCCCCAGCCGGCAAAGCAGCTCCCAAAGGCACATCCACCAGAGGTAGGTCTCCCTCCCCTGCTGCTCCTCCCGCCTCATTGCCCGGCCAGGGCTGAGCAACACCTGCCGAGGCTCCTCTGTCCACAGCCCAGCAGCAGCTGGCCTTCCTGGAGGGCCGCAAGAAGCAGCTCCTGCAGGCCGCGCTGCGAGCCAAGCAGAAAAATGACGTGGAGGGGGCCAAGATGCACCTGCGCCAGGCCAAGGGGCTGGATCCCATGCTGGAGGCCTCACGCAATGGACTGCCTGTGGACATCGCCAAGGTAAACTCTCTGGGTCTACCGGAACTGCCCAGGCACCCACCAGTCAGGCTCCAGCCCCTTCGCAACATGGGATGTGGCCTGTATCAGTCAGGGAATCAGCTCAGCCGTTGTAACAAATAGGCCCCCTCCAAGACAGCAGCTGAAATGAAACAGATACTTTTTTCTTTTTAAGAATTATTTTATTCTAACTTTATTTATCATTATTTTTCAGTTTGACCAGAGAGAGGCAGAAAGGGAAAGGGAGAAAGGAAGCTACCAGGTCCAGGACTTAAACCATGGTTGGCCATGTGGGAGTCCAGCACCTTTAACCACCACATCACATGCCAGCTCATTTCTTTTTTTTTTTTTTTCTTTTATTACATTGTGGTGACTTTTTTCTTTCTTTTTAAAAATATTTATTATCATAGTCATGATTTTTTTTTTTTTGAGAGGTTTTTGCTATAGGGCACATGCGCTCGCCAGACAGAGACAGAGAGACAGAAAGAGAGAAATCACCCCCAGGGGGGATGGCCACGCCGCAATCCCTTCTCCTCCATTCTCCTCTCGGGATCTTGGGCACACACGCACACACGCCTGGCGTGAGTCCTAAGCCACCAGTTCCAGGACACGACCCACGGTCGACTACATGAGAGTCCAGTGACATAGCCATTACTCTAACTGCTGGTCCCGCGTAGTCATGATTTTTTAAATTATTTTTTAGTTAATTTTATTTATTATTATTATTATTATTTTCCAGTTTGATCAGAGAGAGAGAAAGTGAGAAAGCAAGCCACCAGGTCCAGGATTCGAACCGTGGTTGGCCATATGGGAGTCTAGCGCTCTCAACCACCACGCCACCTGCCAGCCCCGCATTAGTATTATTTCTAATTTGCTATAGGACATGTGTGCTCATTAGAGAGAGACAGAGAGAGAGAGAGAGAGACAAGGAAAGTAAGAAAGTAAGCCACCAGATCTGGGACTCAAACCGCAGTCGACCATGTAGGCATCTAGCACTCTAACCACCACACCACCTTCTGACTTTTTTCTGATGCCAGAGGGTGTGTGTGGATACCAGAAAGAGAGAAAGCATCCCCAGGACCTGGTCACACCGCAATCCCTTTTCCTTCATTCATATTTTTCTTTTCTTTTTTAACTTTATTTATTCATCATTTATTTTAATTTGACCAGAGAGACACAGAGAGAGAGAGGGAAAGTGAGAAAGCAAGCCACCAGGTCTGGGACTCAAACCATGGTCGGCCATGTGAGAGTGTCCAGCACCTTAACCACCATGCCGCCTATTCATACTTTTCTTTCAGTATCTTGGGCACGCATACACATGCACCTGGTGTTTTTTTTTTTTTTATCACCAGTGCCAGGATTGAAATCATGGCTGGTAGGGCCAGTAGGTGGCATGGTAGTAAAAGGTGTTGAACTCTCATGTGGCTGGCCACAGTTAAAAGTCCCGACCCAGCGGCTTGAAAATCACTCCAGGGCCATGTATGTGCATGCCCAAAAACCTGAGAGGAGAATGAAGGAGAAAGCACCGTGGCATGGCCAAACCCCTGGGAGGGATTTTTTGCTTTCCCTCTCTTTCTGTCTCCAGCAAGTGTACTTGTCCTCTGGCAAAAAAAATAAAAAATAAAAATAATCTTAAAAAAACAAGGTTGGGGTGGAAATCCCAGAAGGTAGCCTGGTGATGAAGCCCCTGGACTCCCACATGGCCGACCCCGGTTTGAGTCTAGGAGCTGGCGGCTTGAAAAACACACCAGGGGGAACCAGCAGTTAGTGTAATGGCTATGTCGCTGGACTCCCATGTAGTTGACTGCAGTTCGCATCCTGGACCCGGTGGCTTAAAACTCACGCCGGGCACATGTGCGTGCGTGCCCAAGATCCCGAGAGGAGAATGGAGGAGAAGGGATTGTGGCGTGACCATCCCCTCTGGGGGGTGATTTCTCACTTTCTGTCTCTATGTCTCTCTCTGTCTGTCTGGCGAGCGCACATGCCCTATAGTGAAAACCTCTCAAAAAAAAAACCCAAAAACCAACCAAACAAACAAAAAAACACCGGGCACCTGTGCGTGCGTGCCCAGAATCCCAGGAGGAGAATGGAGGAGAAGAAATTGGGGCGTAGCCATCCCCCCCCGGGGATGACTTCTCGCTTTCCCTCTCTGTCTCTCTCCCGTGAGCGCACGCACCCTATGGCAAAATAGAATAAGAGAACAATGCACCAAGCGGTGGTCAGGAAAGACCTCTCCAAAGAGGGGTGACATTTTCCCAGAGCCCCACACAGCAGATCTGCTGGTCCGCCTAGCTCATCCCCACGGGCCTCTTCCTTCTCAGGTGCCCCCCGCCCCTGTCAACAAGGACGACTTCGCCCTGGTGCAGAGGCCCGGCCCAGGCCTGTCTCAGGAGGCCGCCCGGCGCTACGGAGAGCTCACCAAGCTGATCCGACAGCAGCACGAGGTGAGGACAGCTCCGCAGGGACAGCCCGCCACCCCCACGGGGTCGCACCCCTTCCTCGCCTCCCTCACTGCCTTCTGTTCTCCAGATGTGTCTGAACCACTCCAACCAGTTCACCCAGCTGGGCAACATCACCGAAACCACCAAGTAGGTGCCCTGACCCCGCCGGGCATCCGTCCCCCCAGCCCACCCTGGGATCGAGGGCCTGAGAGGGGCTCTCTGGCTGGCAGGTTCGAGAAGCTGGCTGAGGACTGTAAGCGCAGCATGGAGACGCTGAAGCAGGCCTTCGCCCGGGGCCTCCCCACGCCCGCCGCCCGCTTCGAGCAGAGGACCTTCAGCGTCATCAAGTGAGGCCCGGACACCCCTTCCCCAGCCCAGACGCCCCTTTGGAGAGGGCTCTGTGTTCCCCAGAAGCTCGCACACAGGACTTGACCCCAGAGGGCCAGGGCGATGGTGGGAGCACAGAACGTGCAGAGGCCCTGGGGCAGGCGTGGGGTGGGACCAGTGTTCAGCAGCTCATTTGTGGGCAGGGAGCAGCAGATGGGGTAGCAGTTATGTCGCTGCACTCCCACATGGCCGACTGCGGTTTGAGTCCCGAACCCAGCAGCTTAAAACTCATGCCAGGATGGGACCAGCAGTTAGCAGAATGGCTATGTCGCTCGACTCCCCTATAGTCAACCGTGGTTCGAGTCCCGGACCCAGTAGCTTAAACTCACGCCAGGCGCGTGTACATGCATGCCCAAGATCCCAAGAGGAGAATGGAGGAGAAGGGTTTGCGGCGTGGCCATCCCCCCTGGGGGGTGATTTCTCGCTTTCTGTCTCTCTGTCTCTCTGTCTCTCTGGTGAGTGCACATGCCTCGAAAACCCCTCCAAAAAAAAAAAAAAAAAAAAACTCATGCCAGGATTGTGTGCGTGTGTGCCTAAGATCCCAGGAGGAGAATGGAGAAGGGATTGCGGCGTAGCCATCCCCCCTGGGGGGTGATTTCTTGCTTTCTGTCTCTCCGTCTCTCTCTGGTGAGCACACGTGCCCTGTAGCAAAATTCTCTCAAAACAAACTCATTTGGGGAAGATCTAGTAAATTTTTTTTTTTTTTAAATATATTTTGGGGCCAGCAGGTGGCATGGGAGTTAAGGTACTGGACTCTCACATGGCTGACCATGGTTCAAGTCCCAGACCTGGCAGCTTGAAATTCACGACAGGCACATGTGTGCTCGTGCCCGAAATCCCAGGAGGAAAATGGAGGAGAAAGGATTGGGCCTGGCCATCTCCTAGGGGGTGATTTCTCACTTTCTGTCTCTCTGTCTCTGTCTCTCTCCAGTGAGCACAGGCACCGTATCGCAGAACACTTAAAAAAAAAAAAAAAAAAAAAAAAAAAACCTGGTGCCAGGGCCTCGGATGAGTCCCTGGAAGACCAAGGAGAGTTCCGGTCTGGCAGCTGTCAGTCTAGTTTTTTGCTTTAGTTTGCCAGAAGGCTCATGCCCTCATCTGACAGAGAGACAGAGAAAGGGAGAAAGCAGCCCCTATTGGGAATGGGCCAAGGCCACACTACACCCCCTTCTTCATCTCTCCACCCCGTTGGGACCTAGGGCACGTACGCACACACACGCCTCTCAAGCCACCTGGGCTGGGATTCAAACCGTGGGGTTGGCCCTGTGGGATCCAGCTGCCTCAACCACCAGGCCATGGAACTGGCCCTGTAGATTTCTTTTAAATGCCAGGGGGAGAGAGAGAGAAACGCAGCAGGACCCGGCCGGGCCCTAGTCCTTTTTCCTCCGTTCTCATCCCATCAGGATTCTGGGCACGTGAGCACATGCCCAGCATGGTTTTTTCTTTTTTTTTGGAGAGGTTTTCGCTATAGGGCGTGTGCGCTCGCCAGACAGAGAGAGAGAGACAGAGAGACAGAAAGCGAGAAATCACCCCCCCAGCGGGGATGGCCACGCCGCAATCCCTTCTCCTCCATTCTCCTCTCGGGATCTTGGGCACGCACGCACACGCGCCCGGCATGAGTTTTAAGCCACCGGGTCCGGGACGCGAACTGCGGTCGACTACGTGGGAGTCCAGCGACATAGCCATTACACTAACTGCTGATCCCTGTGCTCAGCATGTTTTTAAAACCAGCGCACTGGCATTTAGTAGGTGCTCAAGAAACACTGTCAAGTGAAGGGAGGGTTCCCCAGTAGCTAGGGCACTGGCAGGTGCTTAGTAGGTGCTCAGGAAACATTGTCAAGTGAAAAGAGGGTCCCCCAGCAGCTACGTGCCCAGCATGTTTTTAAAACCAGCGTACTGGGTGGCGTTTAGTAGGTGCTCAAGAAACACTGTCAAGTGAAGGGAGGGTTCCCCAGTAGCTAGGGCACTGGCAGGTGCTTAGTAGGTGCTCATGAAACATTGTCAAGTGAAAAGAGGGTCCCCCAGCAGCTAGGGCACTGGTCAGCACCTACTAAGGTAGGTGCTCAGGAAACATTGTCAAAGGAAAGGAGGGTCTCCCAGCAGCTAGAGTGCTGGCTGGCACTTAGTAGGTGTTCAGGAAACATTGTCAAAGGGAGGGTCCCCCAGCAGCTAGGGCACTGGTCAGCCCTTAGTAGGTGCTCAGGAAACATTGTCAAAGGAAGGGAGGGCCCCCCAGCTGCTAGGTCACTGACTAACACTTAGTAGGTGCTCAGGAATATTAATATGAAGTCCCTCAGCAGTGAGGGCCTCGACCAGTGCACAGCAAGTACCAAATAAATCTTGATCCGTGACACACCTGAGCAGAGGAGTCTCGTCTGTCTGATTGTAAAACTCCAACTTTGGAACTGAGGCCCTCCCCCACAAAAAAGAAAAAAAAAAAAAAAAGGCCCTACGTGGGGTCTGCCCTCCGGCCCCACAGCCACAGCGGGGAAAGAGGGCAGGTGGGCAGAGGAGCTGACGTGTCTCTGTTCGCGCCGCCCACCCGGAAGGATCTTCCCCGACCTGAGCAGCAATGACTTGGTCCTCTTCATCGTGAAGGGCATCAACCTGCCCACGCCCCCAGGTGAGGGGGTGCAGGTGGGGGTTGGGGGTCCTGGGGACCACCTCTGCCCAGCCCTGACCTTCGCTTGCCCACAGGGCTATCCCCCGGCGACCTGGATGTCTTCGTTCGGTTCGACTTCCCGTATCCCAACGTGGTAGGTGGAGACCCCAGGACGGGAGGGTTCGAGCCCCAGGGGGGCCGGGAGGTGAGTCAGCCCTGGAGGGGCGGTCCCAGGCCTGGGTCCCGACTGACCTGTCTTCCATCTGGTCACAGGAAGAAGCTCAGAAAGACAAGACCAGCGTGATCAAGAACACAGACTCCCCCGGTGAGCCGTGGCGTGAGGGTCCCCGTCCTCTGTGGCAGAAATGAACGAGAACCCGTGATCTGACCCCCACACACACACCTTCCTGTCCCTCCTCCCCTCTGTCCCCTGGCAGAGTTCAAGGAGCAGTTTAAACTCTCTATCAACCGCAGCCACCGTGGCTTCCGAAGGGCCATCCAGACCAAAGGCATCAAATTCGAAGTGGTCCACAAGGGGTGAGCTGGAACCAGGGCCACCGGATGTGTGCCGGGGCAGGGGAGCTTCCCCGGACCAACCATCCTGTCCCCTCCCCTGTCATGCCCACACAGGGGGCTATTCAAGACCGACCGGGTACTGGGGACAGCCCAGCTGAAGCTGGACAGCCTGGAGACGGCATGCGAGGTCCGGGAGATCCTTGAGGTAAGAGGTAGACATTCACCCGCACCCTCTGGTACGCCCACGCCGCCATAGGCATTATTCAGAGGCTGCCTGCCCTGAGCTTCCTGCACCAGTTGGCCCAACCTCAACCCTGGGAGTCCCAGCCCTACCTACTCCCAGCACCCTTCTCCGCTGTGACCACTGAGCGTCTCTGCCCTATCTGTGACTCCATACGGGAGAGATTGGGACCAGCTGGGGGGTGTGGAGGTTAAGGCCGCTGGATCCCACATAGCTCGCTGTGCGGTTCGAGTCTCGGACTCGGTGGTTTGAAAATCACACAGGGTCGGGACCAGCAGTTGGCGTAATGGTTATGTCACTGGACTCCCATGGAATTGACTGCTGTTCGAGTCCCGGACCTGTTGGCTTAAAACTTAAGCTGGAGGACCAGCAGTTAGCGTAATGGCTATGTTGCTGGACTCCCCTGTAGTCAACCGCGGTTCACGTCCCAGACCCTGTGGCTTAAACTCACGCCGGGCACGTGTGCATGCGTGCCCAAGATCCCGAGAGGAGAATGGAGGAGAAGGGATTGTGGCATGGCCATCCCCCCAGGGGGCGCTTTCTCATACTTCCTCTCTCTCTCTCTCTGTCTCTCTCTCTCTTTCTGGCAAGCACATGCGCCCTACAGCAAAAACCTCTCCAAAAAAAAAAAAAAGAAAGAAAATCACACAGGGTGTGTGTGCATGTGTATCCAACATCTCGAGGAGAAGGGATTGTGGCATGGCCATCCCCCCAGGGGGCGCTTTCTCATACTTCCTCTCTCTCTCTCTCTGTCTCTCTCTCTCTCCTGTGAGCTCATGCAACTTATAGCAAATTAAGTTAAAAAAAAAAAAAAAGAAGTGACCGGGGTTCTCCCTGATCCTGGCCCTGGCCCTCCAGCCACCTCCTACTCTTCACCAATGGTGTCCCCTCACTCCACACAGGTCCTGGACGGTCGCCGGCCCACAGGGGGGCGGCTGGAGGTGATGGTCCGGATACGGGAGCCGCTAACGGCCCAGCAGCTGGAGACAACCACCGAGAGGTGGCTGGTCATCGACCCGGTGCCAGTGGCTGTGACCACAGTGAGAACCCTGCCCGTCGGCAACCCCAGGGCGGGAAGCTTGGTTCAAGGTGTCCAGGACTCACGGGACTGGTTCTCTCCTCTGAAGCAGGTTGCTGGGCCTAAAGGGAAGGCCCCTCCTGTGCCTGTTCCGTCCAGGGAGCCAGGGAACAGGTAGGCGTCTGGGCCAGCTGGTACAGGAAGGAATCCCCTCTTCCTGCCCCAGCCCCTCCTGGGTAGTTTCCCATCACGTCCCTCCTCTGCTTCAGAACCTTCCTTGCACCTTCTCCTGGAGTTTGAAATTAATCTCCTTAACTTGACTTCAAGACCTTTTGTGATCTGACCATTGTCCGTAGGTGTAACCTTCTTTCTCCTCACTCTTGGCTACTGGTTCGTGGCTACCTGGTTTACATGAGCCTCTGGGCTTCTCTGTGTTCTAGTGCCCTGAACACCTTAATCCCCACTCCTTTGCCCAGCTGGGACACCTTTGGGTCTCAACTCTATTGCCTCCTCTAGGAAGCCCTCCCTGACCACCAAGCATCACAGTTGTTTAATGTGCTGCCATCATCCTCACTAAGTTATGGATTGTGTACCCCACTGGCCAGCATATTTGTTGAGTTAACAGATGTGGACAAAGGGGGGATCCCTCAGCACCTCATCCCCTTCCTCACTCCATAGATCAGCCCGGCCCCTGCATAGCCTCAGTGTGCTAGCCTTCGACCAAGAGCGTCTGGAGCGGAAGGTGGGTGCTGGGTGGGGCAGGACTGGGGGGTCTGCAGGCCCGGGCAGGACCCTCACAGTCCCACTGCACCCCCTCCAGATCCTGGCCCTCAGGCAGGCCCGGCGGCCGGTGCCTCCCGAGGTTGCCCAGCAGTACCAGGACATCGTGCAGCGCAGCCAGTGGCAGAGGACGCAGCTGGAGCAGGGGGGCCCAGGCATCCGGCGCGGTGAGGCTGGGGACAGGCGTGCGACAGGGTTAGGGCCCAGGGACGGGCACCTGGCAGGGTGGACAGGGGCCTGGGGACAGGCATCAGGCTGGGTGGGATCGGCATTGGGGATGGGCCCCACCTCAACCCCTGAACCCCCATCCCCTACTCAGAGTACACAGCGCAACTGGAGCGGCAGCTGCAGTTCTACACGGAGGCCGCCCGTCGCCTGGGCAACGACGGCAGCAGGGTGAGCTGGGCGTGGCCGGGTGGGGGCGGAGCCAGTG